CAGGCTGGTGGTGCAGGGGGAGCTAATGGTGGTGAGGGATTATGCATGCATGATTCTGACACCATCTTGAATGATCGTGTTCGGGACACAATTATCCAAGCTCAAGAACGAACAGTCAGTAAAGTGTTACAGGAAATGGCGTGGAATGGCCCTCATCGATTTCTAGTTCCTTTGTGCCGATTGGTTCAAAGCCATTGGGTGCGCTCAGCTTACGACCTCAACATGGCTATCTACAGCTCCTTTGCCGAGGTCGGGTTTGGGAGCACAGCTGGTACCTTCATCGTTTCACCAACTTTCCCTGGAACCGGCCGGACAGAGTCAGTGACTACTGAACTTGAGGAAAAATGGGATCCTATATGGCTGCGAAAGTCTCGTGAGTTTGATGGATTCTTAGGACAACATGTGGAGACAGCAGGGTTCATTGGAAAGCTCTTTTGGGTGATCGATGGAAACCATAGGTGGCTGGCATTTTGGAAGTGCATTCAAGAGAAGTTCCGAGATGACGAAGAACGACACATTAGTGTTCCAGTCACACTTGTCGAACCAATGACTCGGGAGCACACTGTGAAGCTCAACATGGCATGCCATAAGATCAACATGTAAGAATTTATTTTTTGTAAACTTAGCTAATATCGTGTTTCTGCAGGCTAAACCAATTTGCGTTTCAAGCTCATACATTGGTACATGACATTGAGCACCTTCGGTTTATGGGCATGCTCTCGCTAGAGGAGGTCCAAACGTTGTACAATCGTGAGGTATTTGAAGCAATTCGAGTGAAGCTAGCAGCTAGGAAAGGCCAAGAATTGCAGACTTGGTACCAACTGCCACTTGATTTTCTAGTTGCTGTCTGGGCGAAGGTAAATTATTATTGAAGTATGTATCAACTTACATAATGTTTCTTGCAGCCCATAATCAAAGGAGAAAGAGTGTCATTCTTTAAAAATGCCCGAGGGGACGAGCAGCAGAAGGAGATGGAGTGGCATGCGATTGAGCAGCGAATTTTGAATACGAAGAGAACAAAGGTGAAAAAGTTGCTCTCGATTGCAGACATACGACGCGGGCAGGAATGGCTTGATAGCATTGCCGAGATTTGTTCTCGCGTTCGTAAGTTCTTATAAAATTTGTGAGACATTTCATAACTCTTTGTGTGTGTAGGAACTGGTAAAGCACCGGAGGAACTCATTTACAACATCTCTAAGAGTAAAATGTCCTTTGCTGAACAAAGTGTCTGCTTGGAACTTCT